TGGCAGGGAGAGAGGAGCAGAACCTGCTTTTTCTTCAGAAGCGTGCTGTTTTATGGGCAGCGTTTCGCTGTGTGTCAGCCTGTGGGTCTGCACGGGCTTTCGCAGGAGGCAGCTTGTCCAGGGAGCCTGCTCCTGCTCAGGCGCCGGAGGTGCCTGCGGCCTCGTGCTGCGGGCACGGGCCAGAACTCAACGCTGCTCTTAGATGTTTGGGTGTAAACGGCCTTTTGTGGGTGTCTGATCTGTTGCCGCGTGCCGATAGTTTGGGCATGAGGTCGTCATGCATTCCCCTTTTCCTTCACCCCATACCTGCTCCCTCTCACTGAAATACACTTAAATGTATAGGTGTGATAAACACTGTAGCTTCTGTTGTTTTTCTTAATAGGGTGTTTTTAACAGAAAGCAAAGAATGAGTGTACATGTTATTTATTACCCATTTTTCCGGCTGCTTTGACGATGGTGAAGGTCAGGCAGACAAGAGAGCTCATTGGTATAAAGCCTTGAATGCAGAAGTCCTTGTGTCCCTGCAGCTGTGGGGTGGCTTTGGTGGTGGCTCGGGGAGCTGAGCAGAGCTCCAGATGTTTTCTTTGGAAGATCTTAAATCGAGCAGAGGTGGTCCTGGGAGTTTGCACCGCAGGCAGGTTTGTTGGTGTCGGATGCTCTGTTTTGCTCAGCTGTGGCCCCCCATCGCTGCGTGTAGGTCGCGCTCCGGCCTCCCCAGGAGGAACGGGCTCCGTAGCGGTTGCTCTTGCTGTTTCGCAGCTTGCCAGTGCTCCAGGGAAGGGTCCCTCCACAGCACGTGCGACCAGGACACGGGGCAGTGCAGCTGTCGGCCCAAGGTGACGGGACTGCGCTGTGACACCTGCGTGCCGGGGGCCTATGGATTTCCACACTGTGAAGGTAGCCTCCGTCTGCGTGACCGAAGCCGCTCTTCAAGACTAGCTGGGGTGTGAACGGTCTCTTTCTAAACCTCTCCTTGTGCTTTTGTCTTCCAGTGGGCTCCTGTAACCCAGCCGGGCTAGTGCCTGCAGACCCCTCGCTGGCCCCGGTGAGTATCGAATACACCTGCCAATCTCTGCAGCTCACTTCTGCTTGGTCCCCTCGTCCTCCCTTGGGGCCAAGCGCTCCCTTCAGCACAACACCGACGGCAGCCCTTACCCCCTGCAGAGGGAAAAATTTCACGTTCAGCCACGCTGTTGCAAACTCTGCCGTTCTCACCTGCTCTTTTCTCTCCCCCCGCTCTCCTCAGGGCTCCTGTGCATGTCGGGCGTATGTTGAAGGCCCAGCTTGCGACAGATGCAAACCGCTGTACTGGAACCTGACTCCGGAGAACCCCTACGGCTGCATGAGTAAGGAAATGTTATTTGCCTGGCCCCAGAACGTCTTCCCCGTAATAATGGAGCAAGACCCAAACCCAAGGCAGTAGGCCTTGTCACTGTTGAATGGAAGTGATACCTGTCCTTCATTCTTCACCATGAGGTGACATGTCAGAGCTGTAATGGTCTGAGTAGCCCATACTTGGGGAGGGGAAAGGCTGGAGTCTGGAGCTTTTGCTTAGGATAGAATTGTCAGGGTTCATGCAGTGAGTTCTGCCATTCTCGGCCCTCCCTTCAGACTTTGCACACTTGGGTTTTCATGGAGAAATGGGCAGAAAAGTCAAATGCCTTTGGTAGTTGTGTCCGCAACAGTAACTGTCCAGAATGAAAGGTGAGCCCTTGGGCAGTGCTACCCTCTACTTGATCACTTCCCAGTTCCTCTAATCTCAGACAGAGGTCACATCTGGTGTCCTCTGATGTGGTGGGTACTGTCTTCTGTCTTGCTGCTAACATCTTTGCAGGGGCTGCGTTGATCTTCTGGCTTTCTTTTTTTTTTTTCCTTCTTCCCATCTCCAGGCTGCAAGTGTGATACCAAGGGCACCATCAGTGGAATTGCAGAGTGTCAGCAGGTAAGTTTGCTCCAGGCATCTCCAGGCGTGTGCTGTATGGGGAATGTTTCAACTTTGTCTCTCCTGACAGCTGCTGTAGAGGCCTGAGCACTCAGAGCTTGTACTGCAGTCTGGGCTTGCATGAGAATAGGATTAAGACCTGTCATAAATTAGGCCCCTAAATATTTCTGGGTCTGGCCCACCATCCCTGAATTTTTGTTTGCCTGTGTTGTTGGGTAGCTGCACTTATCTGGTACTTTTCTGGCCCGACCACGCATAGGAAGCAGTGCAGAGCATGAAACTCAAAATGCCTCTCCAGTGTCTCAGACTAGAACCCAAAGAGCCAAGAAAGAGCTCAGCTGCAACGAGCCACGGGGAGGGAATGAGCTCTCTACCTGACCCCCGTGCCTGCTGTCTCCTAGGGCAATGGGCAGTGTTTCTGCAAACCAAACGTTTGTGGGCAGCTCTGCTCAACGTGCAAAGACGGATACTTCAGCATGGACAAAGCCAGTTACTTTGGCTGCCAAGGTGAGCTGCCTTTGTGGTGTGTTGGGTCTGGTAAAGGAGGGGGGCCACAAGAGCCAGCCCCTGGAGCAAGTGGCTGTGTGAGCACAAGTGGATACCAGCCTTGGAGAGCAAGGGTGGGAGATGTCCTGCCACTTGCTTTTGACCATACCGAGGCATAGAGCAGGGGCTGGTCTTGCTGAGGATCTAAGAGGCCTGGGTTCACTGTTTTGCCACCGGTGGGCACAGACCGGTCAGGCTGGGAGGGATGAAAGGTTGTGCAAGTTGCCTCCTTGGATGCCGTTTGCTTCAGAAACTGGCGTGTTTAGCCACTGGCCACATTGTCCATGGGGAACCACTTCCTCTTACTGGAAGTGGGTGGGCATGGATGCACGGAGTTGGCTTCCCCTCTCCATGCCCTGAGAAGAGGAGGGCTGGGAAGGGAGAGCAAGCCGGGTGCTGGAGGGCCCGAGCTCGCAGCCAGACCATGAGGGTTTGCAGGCCTCTGCCCCTCCCTCACG